GTGAAAGTGGCAACCGGCATGCGGCAGCGGCACAACTATCCTAGCCAAGCCAAGCCCAGTCCAAGCCAAGTTAAGAAGCCGACTTGGCCATAGCATTGGATTTCATTATGCGCATTTTCTACCACTTTTTCTTCTTCTTCAGCTTCTTCTTCTTATTTTGCAACGCAGCCCCGTTAGCAGCGCATACTTTTAGGCGCTGGCTGCGAGTCGAGCTGCCTGAAATGCAATTTGCATAAGTTTCACAGCTTCTTTCGCTTATATAAAGACAACTTATATAAATATAAATGCTATGTGCATAACCCAGCTGAGTTCGCTGTTGCGTGTGTGTTTTCTTTTCGCTCTTTTTTAGTGCTCCATGCGCCTCTTGCAGAGTGTGTGTGCGTGTGTGTTAAGTATGTGTTGCCGAGCTGTTGGCAGCTTTCCTGCAATACACCAGAAACAACAACATAGCTGCCACGGCAACGCGAACAAATGAAATTTGTATCTGCCTCATCCTGCGCTCCATAAAAAAATAAAAAAGTAAAATGACATTGTGTAATAGAAAACTTATGTGCCAGCAAAACAAGTACGACGAGAGCACTATACTTATACAGTGGGAAGTGTCAGACTGAGACATACCCTATATTCAATTATTGAATATATATATATATATATATATATATATATATACAAGCAGTCAGTGTGCCTTTTAGACTTAGTCATGCTGTATCCTCTCTCTATTCACCTGCGGCCTTCTTGCCTTTTGCTACTGTCTCTATCTTTAACCATCATTAATATATAATTATCAGTGGCTAGACTTTGATTTTAATTGAGTCATAATGATTTCCTAGAAGTCAGCCTAGAATTAGGTCGAACCTAACAATTAAATGTCTTCGCCTTCTGAAGTCCCTCAGCTGTTGTATATTCTTTAGACTAAAGCAATTATCCTACAAGCTATTAAAATACCCGTCGCTGTTACGCTTTTAACTCTTGCAAGCCTGTTATATACCCTTTCTGCAGAGTATATGAATATATACTATATAATGGTTAAACTAAGAGGCTGCCTGAAGCATCCAGTTTGCAATTACTTTTAATACAGCACATTTAATAAGCGCCAAGCAGCTTTCTCAAAGGCAACGCAAATTAAATATTGCTATTATGATAAAACTTGCAAAAATTAGTTCTAAACCTAAATTGAAAACTCTAGGCAAACAATGTTTGTCTAAAGTAAACAGCGAAAGTTTTATACAAAAATAAAAATAAAAATAAGAAGACTGTATAAAAAAATACGAAAAAGACATTGGAAGGAAAAACAGAAACAAAAGATTAAATAAAATTAAAATTAAATTAAATTAAACAAATTTGTAGAAAAATAATTTAAAAGAAAACTATAATAAAAATAAAATAAAATAAGAAATAAATCAATATATAAAACAAAATAAATAATAAATAATAAAAATAAAAAAAATATATAAAATAAAAAAATATATGAAAACAACACAAAAATACAAAAAAATATTAAAATAAAAGAAATATGAAAATTATATAAAATTAAAAAATGAGAACCAAATAAAAGAAATAAAAGAAATAAAAAGAAACTCAATTAAAACTATAATAATAACACAAATATAAAGCACAGAGAAATAAAATAATAATAAAATTTTGACGGCTTAAATTTTAAATTTTCGGTTCCATAAAAACCTAAAAAATAAATAAATAAACTTTACAAGCAATAAAAAATATAAATAAAAATAGAATGATATACAAAAAATAAAACAAAAAGGAACTTAAAAAATAATAAAACAATTCTAAATTCTAATCAGCAAAAGTCTGAGAGTTAGGAAAGTCTTTTGCTAGAGATTTCATATTTTTTATATTCAATATTTGAGCCTAGACAATGTTTTAATTTTTTTCCCAATGATTGACAACCATCAGAATTGAACTGATTTTGATATATGCTAGCTGTGGATACATAGGGTATAGAAGAAGACACATTCAGATATATATACATATAACATATATATATATATACATATACATATCTGTAACATTTAAAAGAGCTTGTGAACTTAAATCTTCTTTGAGTGTTCATTTACACCTGTGAAATTAGTAGACAGGTGCACTCAATGGCAAGCGTGTGTATATATGTAATGGCCTATAATTATTGCCACAAATTGCTGCATGATGCTTGTAAACACAATGCATATTTAATGCCAACAATATTGTGGCAGGTCAGCAAGGTCTATTTAATTGTGCATATATCAAAGCAACTATAATAAAATATATTTTGATGTATTATAAATATTTAAGATAAACAAGCCGCCAATTAAGCCAGGCTAATGAAACTTGTGTGCGTGTATATGCAAATAACTATAAAATAAACACTCACACACACACACCCACGCCCACAGCCACACACAGAGACAAAGCTGTAAACTAGGACACATTTGTCAAGTCTGTCAACTGTTGCCGCCGTTGAGACTAATCCATGCCAATGACCCCACAACCAGCTGGGGCCACCTAAGCCGCAGCACGCTCCACTTGGCCAAAATCCAAGCGCTGCCAGTTGGTTTTGTGGCGGCGCAGGGATAGTCGCCAGAGGAAGGGCGACGCGATTGGCGGCGCTAACTGTCATGTGCGCCTCACGGGCAAATCAGTCATTACACACTTACGCTTGCGCGCACAGCAGTAGCTGGCGCCGAGGCTGGAGCCGAAGCTAAGGCTGTTGAGTGAATGGCGGAGGGTAACGTCACAAATTATGTCAATTTGCTGATGCCGCTGCCGTCAAGAGACGCAGCGCGCAGCCTAGAGAGAGCAGAAATATCTGTCTGTTTATGGAGGTGTGTGTGGGTGTGTGTCTGTGTATGTCTGTTTGCTCTGTTCATTTGGAAGTTTGACATCTTACATGGGAATTGCAAACGCAACGAAAATTGCTACAATGTTTTGCGACAGTCCAAATAGAAACTAATACACACACCCACACACAGAAGCACAAGTGGAACACTAAAGGCCATAATAATAAGTACTTGACCACAAATATTTTATATATACAAATATTTTAGTTTCGCTCAAAGCAATGCATACCAATTGCTTTTTGATTGTGCTAACAATGTTGTTTAAGGCAATTAAAATAAACACATATAAATTTATATATATTAGTCTAATTATAATAAAATGTCAAACTAAACTCAACACAAAACCATTATTAGTTGTTAAACTGATTGCCAAATAAAATAGTGCTGCCAACACAAAATTGTAAAGCTCTAAAAAAAACTTATAGTTTCAGAGGATTATTGATATTGTTAAATAAATTTATTTCGAATTTGTTATTAATTATTAATGTTTATATCTGTAACTATCATATTTTTAATTTTATTGCATTTATTTGAAATTTAAAGTTCAACTTTAATTTCTTTCTAAGCTTATTTCCATTTTGATTTTAGTCTTAAGTGTACTTATTTTGTTGACCATAAGTGTATATATTCTATATATATACAAGGCAACGTCTAGCTGCGTGCGTGCTCCTCTTGCGACGTCATTTGCAAATTTTTGTAGTGTGCCATAAATTATACGACTGGGAATTGCTTTTCTATAAAACGTGCGCATATTAAATAAATGTCAAAAATTGTACCATTGCCACCCACACACACACGCACACACACATACAGACACACGTACGCGACACAAAGCCGTGTGCAAACTGAAATTATGCGTGAGGAATTTGTTGCTGGCGGGTGTCCCAAAATTAAATTACGCGTAACATCATTGCGGGTTCCCTTTTTGGGGTATTAATGAGCTTTGCGCTGTTTGATAGATCTCAGAGTCTTCTCGTGTGTGGGCGCCACAGCTGCACAGGTGTGCCGTCTAGCCTAAGCCGTGGCTTAAATCCCTGTCAATCATCAATCAGCTCTGAATTGACAACCTGCTTAGGCGCTTACAAGCAATATATTAAATCAATAATGTTTAACTGATTTAATGCGCCTTGACTAGGCTATAAATTTAATAACCTCTGCTAACAGTTTCATGGATAGTTTTCTTGCATCTTGACCAATCCAGGTCAACTATATAGATTTGAACACTGCAATTATCTCTATATATCCATACATCTATATATATATATATATATATATATATATTTATAAGTATATATATATATATCAATTGCAGGCTCTGGCATCGTCTGCGGTCAGGGCGCAGCTCGTTAGGCCATGAAGCAATCACCTCAGGCAGCTGGAATTCAGCGCTCTAACCACTGTCATTTGCTGGGATTGCCTTTAGAGTTTGCTGCCCCTGCCCCGCTGCTTGGCGTATATCTATTTGCAGTGACATCAATTGGCAGTTTAAATGCAAAAGATGAGGCCGCCATGAAATCGCAGCTAGACAAACGGATGGACGGACTAGGACTACGATTTGAAGTAAAACTGGGAGCAGAGCTCAGCGCTGTTGCCATCATCATCATTTCATTGTCGTCGTCGTCATTGTTGTTGCTGTTGTTGTCGGCGTCATCGTAGTTGTCGTTGTCGCTGTCGTCAATTTAGCATTAATATTCCCACTCACGTACTTGGTTGTGATTATGCGACTACGACTACGACTACGATGGCTACGATTGCGGTTAGGGTCAGGGTGTGGCGGGCTTTTAGAGTTGAGAAGTTGGAGGCGTGCACCCCATTTAGGGAGATCGGCAGTGTGGCCTGCCCAGTGGGGTGGTGGGTCTGTCGTGCGGTTTCGCTTCGTTTTTTGGCTTGCTTTGCGTGCCGTTGGCGTGACAGTTAAAAGGCAGCATTTTGTTGACATTTGTTGATGTTTAAGGAATCGAAGAAGGAGTCAAGTAATTGCAGCAACAACAACAGCCAAAGACAATTTAATATTGTGTTAATGACTTTGTCAATAGTCGTCGTGTTGTAACATTTAAAACTACACTTCAGAGCCAGCTGCCTGCACTTGTATATGTTTCCACATAATTGACTTTTTGCCTAACTCTCGTCTCTCGTCTCTCTCTCTCTCTTTCTCGCCCTTTACAGTTAGCACTGTTGCCGTAGAAGCCGTGCTGGGACGCACCGCATCCTTGCCGTGTGACATTGAGCCGGAGGCAAAGGACGATCGAGTCTATATGGTCCTGTGGTTCCGTGAGAGTGCAGGCAAACCACTTTACAGGTAAGTGCAAGCGCAAATGCCATTTAGACAGGTATTCAATTGTGAAAATAAAAGAAATAACAGAGTATGCTGTTAGAAAATATACGACTAGATGTTACCCGGTAAACAGATGAATGGTGTTTGTGAGGCAGAGCTTTTAGTGGACTCTAAACTAACTCAAATAATTTATTAATATTACATTTTTGCTTAGATTGATTACCTATTTAAAAAAAATATAACAATTAATTTAACTATAGAAATTTGGAATTAGTTTCTGAAATATTAAATAAATATCTTAACCAAATTAGTTACAGGGGAATCAATGTTCGACTCACACAAAACATTTCATTGCTGCCATTTATGATTCCATTACAGCCATTTTTAATGAGCATAGAGTAGAGGAGAGCTAATTCAATTTCAATAGGTTGACAACAAATATTAAAGTCTGTTTATGTGTGCCAGTTAAGTATGCCAGGTGTATGTGGTAAACCTTTAGCAAGTTGAGCCTTCACGTGGCCGTCACTTAAGGTAGGGGCTAGCTTTTGATTTATGTTGAGGACCTGGGCAACTGTTCAGCACGTGATGAGAAATGGCGCCAGTTCATAATTTTCAAATAATTTATTATTTTAATAACATCATCAATAGTAACTCAACTCGAGTGCCGGAGTCCCTGTGCCTAGGCCAGCAGCGTTGGCAGTGGGTCAAAAACAAAAGCGAGCCGGGGCCGGGGCGAGGCCAAACGCTGCGACGTGAACTCATATATTAGCCGCAGGGGCAAAAGCAAAGGCAAAGGACATCAATGGCAGCCAGGCCAGCAAAATAATAGCAGCCAAAGTGAAAACTGTTTTGGCGGCAACTTTGATTATTTTAGGGCATGAGCCGAGCCCGGTCTTGCTGAGGTGTGGTCTGTGTGTGTGTGTGTGTGTGTCCTTATGCTGCCGCTACTGCTGCTGCTTCTGCTTCTGCCGTTATTTATAGAGCGGACGAGCGCTGTGAGCGTGTGCTTAGGTTTAATATGTTGCACATTATAAGCAGACATCGATATCCTTTAGCCTTGTCAATTTTGCTTACATGTGTGCTTCCTTCGCCAATATGTTGCCAGTTGAGGACGAGGGGCCACGGGGCCATGGCGACCGACTCTAACAAGGGACAGGACTAGGAACGCACGTGTATATCAAGGACAAGCGCGAGCAGTTCACGAGCTGTTGCTGCTGCTGCTGCTGCTCTTACTGCTCCTGCGTCTCCTGCTGTTCCTGCTGCTCCATGTGTTTCGTGTTGTTGTTGTTGCTGCTGCTGCTGCTTCGTGCACTCAATTGGAAGCAATAAATTTCAGTGCTGCACAGACAATGGGACAGCATCAGCGAGTCACTGAGAAGGGGAGCCCGTGAGTGGAAAAAAATGTTTGCCAAAAACTAGGAAAATGTCGAAAACAATAATGTTGCAAAAATTTCCGACTTTATAACCAAAATATCCGAAAGTGATTCGAATTCGATTTCCCTTCCTTGAAAGCGAGCAGCAAACAGCAAAAAAAATACAACAAAAAATGCGGCCAAATAAATATAAGACAGTAAACAAGCAACAGTAACAGCAGCGACAACAACAAGACTAAGCCACAACGGGGACAACGATGGGCAGAGGGGCAGCCAGAGGGGAGCGCGTGGGCTGCTACAACTTGGGTTCTGCGGCATAAAATTGCCAGCGCTGCGTGAAATCGAAGGCAACTTAAGTTAAAAAGAAACGAAAGCCAAGAGCTAAGACCAAAAAGATGCCAAAATTGAAAGGCAGCAGGCGGGCCGGTATATGTATGAGTGTCATGTGTATGTGTGTGTGTGTGTGTGCCTGCCCGTGTGTGCGTTTTCCGTTTGCCACATTTTGTAAGGATGTCACAGCTTGCAGTCCGGAACCAAGCCTGAGCCTTACCTAGAGCCCTGTCTAGGGCTCTCGCTCTGCATTTGACAGCTTCGCACCAACGACAACAGCAACAACAACATTATCAGACATAACAACAACAAAAGCCGAGCCGAAAGGCAAAAATATTAAAAATTATAATGTTAAAATTTGCTTTGTTGTCTGGACCAGCTGAGCTGAGGATTTTTTGTTAGGGTTAGGCTACGTTTTATGCTTTGCCTTTTATACCACGGCAAAGCCTAAAGGGGCATATTGATATTGGGCTAAAATATGTAACAGGTAGGGGACTAACCGATAAGACTATAAAGTATAAAGTTTATAGCTCTACAGACTTCATATTTGCCACAAAGTTCCATCAGATTATAATTCTTTTTCATCAGCAATACTTGCCGAGGCAAAAAACTTCAACAGCTCGTCACTGGCTGCAGGGTATCTCCTAGTTGAGCACACTTAACACTAGAGCAATCTCCTGGTTTTCCCTTTTTATGGTCCATACCTTTGCTGGGATTTGTTTCTGGCGCGTTTTGACCCTTGAAATGCGATTTTCATCAGATTGTTTTTCTTTTTATTCATATATTTAACTGTTATGGATTGTTGCGATTGAGTTTCATTTGGCCGTTCGACAAGAGGTCAGGCAGCATTATTAAAATTAACATTTGCCGTTTGGAGGGCGTGACAGGCAGCTGTGGCAGGCATTTAGTTGCCGTCATGTCATGTCCAATATGGCAAGTCATCAATGGCTGCAAAGCGAAGCCAGCAGCAAAGCCGGAATAATAAACAAGAACAAAGGGCAAAGACAATGTTGGCCAGAGCTGTGGCCTCTCCGCTGCCAGCCATAAAAAAGAACGCATTGAGTATGGCCGCAATCAAGGTTAATTGATTTTTAAAGCCAGCGTGGTTCCCGGCCATCGGAATGGATGGAGCGGTACCGCTGGTGAGCGATGGGGCTTAAATAATGAAATTTGCTGCACTGCAAAACGGCACAACGACAGAACGGCAGCTGTGCGTGTCGGCCCAAACGGCTGTTGTGGCTGTCAAAAGGCAGCCATAATCCATGTTACGGCCCACGCTAACTGCCATAATCGTCAGCGTTGGCCACTGGCCCATAAATACAAATATACACATGTATACATAACGTCTATATATACATATACCTATATATAGTTCGCATGCAGACGGTGTGGCAATCGAAAGTGCATTCACTCCAGTCTCTGTCTGTGTGTGTGCCGTGCACTTGGCGCTCTACTTGAGAATCTGCCGGCCACAAAAGTAATAAACCACGAAATGGTATTCAAAATGGCTGGCAATAAAATCCACCAGCAGCCCGCAGGACTCGCCAACTTGGCCAAAAGTCGAGCCAATGGCAATTAACTCGAGTGCATTTTCGGGGGCTTTACGAGCGACGGCACAGCCAGCGGCAATTGCAACTGTGCCGCACTTGGCGCAAATTCCAGTTAGATGGGTTATTTAAAACTGTAATTAAGTCGCCGCATGTGTGTATATGTGTGTGTGTGTGTGTGTGTGCGTGTATGTGTGAACAACGGAAATGCACAGAGCGCATGCAAATCGATTTTCAGCCACTAAACTTTGACTCGGAATTAATGCATTTCATCTATTGCCGTTGCGACCACGAAATGCTTCCGACCTACTCCATTCAAATTTCCTAATGGACCTCTGTAGTCCCAACAAACGATGCTCCATTGTTTTACTTTTTTCTTACGCCTTGACGATCTTCCATCTTTAATTTGTGCTGAATAAACTAATAGCAAGATTAACTTTACTTTTGTAACTTTAAAAGACTTTGGAATGGAACTTAAGGGATACTCAGCAATAGATGATACATGTGTTGTTAGCTCGATTTGAGGAATGGCATACATTGAACTAAAATTTTAGCTGTGCTGATATATAAATAAAATACATAATAGTGCTCTGCTCAGAGCCTAGCTGAAGTCTGTGTAAAGTCTTGGATAGCTTGTTAGAGAGAAATATATAGTTTTTTTTAGTGGCTTATAGCTTTGAAATGTCAACACTGCTATATTTGACAACCTTTTGACCAGCAAATAGTTATCATTTATTAAGTTTAGCTTGACATTATTTTATAAATATATTCACATTATTTTATAAATATATATAAATTGCTAAAATGTATTATTAAAATAATAGTTCAATTCGTCGAACTTTTCGTGCACTTCGTCCACTTTATGGCACACATAATGATGAAGTCAATTGTTGACTGAATAAATAGAATTATTATATTTAAAATAAAGATTATATGCGCTGGAATTTATTGTTTGGTACGCATTATGTGCTGGCGAGCCATTGGTTCAAATGTTTTAAAAAACGATGATTGCGAAAATTCATATTCTAGATTGCATCTTATACCCGCCAGCTGTGATGATTACATGGCTAAGGTCATACTGAAACGTTATTGTAATTAATATTGGCCTTTAAAAAAGTATATTTAATTAATATTAAAAATATACTTATTTATTTTATTATAACATAAGCTTAGGTAACTCTAAAAAAACAGCCAATATGATTACCTGCTCAGAGCTTATCCAAAGTCTGCATCACAACGGATAGAGAGTTGGGCAGAACGATAGTTCTAAGTCTCCTTCGTAGCTTTCCACATTTTGTAGGCAAACTAAAATACGTAAGACATAGGTGGTAAAGTGGCTTATACACTTTGAACTCCGCTCTAGCTATAAAAATGGCAGCAATCTAACTTAAAATGGAATAGAAGTAAAAGCAAATAATTCAGCTAAACAAAGCCGAATACCGCTGAAAAACCTTTACAACAATATGAATTCATTTCTTTGGATCAGGCTAAACTTTGGCGAAAATCAACAACCAACAATAACAACAACTACAACAACAGGATCAACATGCGGGCCGAGAAAATGGGCAACGTAGCAAGATGAAAGTTTTATTTTGAATTTATTGCCGAATTTATTGGGCAACACTGCATAAATTTGAACTTGCCCATCATGGAGGACTTTACGTTTTATACATGTGTGTGTGTGTGTGCATGTGTGTGCGTGTTTGCGTATACTTTTTTTTTGTTCTTCGTTTTCATATATTCATATGCTACAAATTATATAGTAAAAGCAAAG